CAAGGACGACTCGACACGTGGGGAAAAAGCAAGCTACCTCAACTACTTTTTTGAACTAACTGATTTCTTTAACAGACATCCCATACCTTTCCGATGAAATGGTCCAATGCAGTTTGAACAGGTTATCCCCACGCAGTGGTACATCATGCTTGGAACCTTAGCGCTACCTCTCCGGTCACGTGCTGTCTGCGAGTTTGGTTGCAAATTCCGGGGTCAGCGCTTAGACCGTTTCTACTATCGGTCACAAATTGGTCGCCTACACAACTGCGTACACGGTGTTTAGGACAGCTTGGTCGGCTGATAGATCAGTGTAAGCTGGTTGCCCGCAAAACTGACGAACATGCTGGATGTGTTTGGAGCTGGATGCAAGTTGCAGGTAAACGATGGATCACATATTGTTCCGTAGCTGCCATTAGTTTCACCGTATATAGACGTAACAAATTTTATTGGACGGCTCAGCGACCGCTCTATCGAAATCACACAGTTAGTCAGATAACCAAAGTGTGATAATACGTATGTGCGCTTTGTACACGAAAGTTTAAAAAATGTTAGAATTGCTAGAACAGGAAATGCTTTCGTGAAAGGGTATGCGAAGGATAGCGCAAAATAGTTACATTCGTATATGTGTAAGCAGAATGTGCTGCATGAAAATGAAAAGCATTAACTACACAATAACGATGAGCTCCAAATCGAGCATCCGCACATCTGACGCCTGCATGTGACAGAGGTGGAATAATTAAGTACTGACATTTTTCCTGGAACTGAGATTCATCAGCATAAAAGTCCTACTGTAAGCACTTTCAAAAGATGTTATATAGCGCTATTGAGCGAGCTAAATTAACCGTTTGGAAGGAGACAATTGTTTAGTTAGCTACTCGTTCACAAACTACCCACACGTTTACTACACAGGAATTAATATGAAAATAAATAAGTATTTGTGCAACGATGCTGATGGTATTCAGCTCATGTTGTCGAAAATTTTATTGCAGCTGTTATACGCCATTTTTAGCAAGAGCAAACTCATAGAAGTTACCGATGAGCCATGTGGAATTGAACCAAATTCATGGCAGTGCTGGATAAAACGCGATCCGACACATTTTACCTTGGCAGCTTATTCTAATAAGCTGCAAATTACTAATAGGCGTAGTTTTGATGCTTAATAAATTTCATGGATGTGCGCTAATGATGATGCCCAAAAGGTTGTCTCTGCAGTCCAGTGCTTTTCTGGTAAGTAAAGGACTATCTGATATGAAAATTGCTGTGACGCATTTCCAGTTGACTAATCTTCAAATTGCTGCATCACAAACTTTGACATAAGTTGACTAGTGCATGACCGAAATATAAATGAAGAGTTACGGAAAGTTAAGTAGTTTTGGACAAACATTTGGAAATTATGCAAAGGGACTGGCTAGAAACAGCAGTCTTGTCCCAGTTGTAATAGTTGAACTGTTATATTAATCGGTAACAAATTGGGTTAAAATAACTGGATTTAAGTTTTGGATACATGTTGAAAATGGCGAATATATAAAGCAAATATCTTATGCTCAGTTACAATAATCTACCGAGTTTACTTGATTCTACGATCTCAATTACTATACTTTGTCACCAAGGGCAACATGGTTACCCAGTTGGAAGGTAAGGACAACATTTTCCTGTGGCCAAAAACTATACGATCATGCATTGGTTACGTATATACAATCGCTCTCGAATTGCTGCATTAATTGTCAAGTCATGCCATGGAGATAAATAAAAACAGCACAAATAAATGAAAGTCTTTATTTCGACCTTGCAAGACGCAGACCGATTACATGTTCTGATCAGTATGTACAAGAATATAGCATAGTGGGGAAGTTGTCGCGTTTCGTAATGGTTCCAGTGGGATGTTAGGACTGTTTTAACATCTAAAATTAGTACAGGATTGAGCGTATGAAATTATGCATAAACATAGGCATAGCCGACAGTTTAAGTAACGTACTACGGCCATCAATGTAACCGCTTCCTGATTACCTGCTTCCATGCGAGATAATCCTTTGAGAGGTTTCATCCGCACTTCGGCCTCTCATCTGGTCATATGCCGACTTAGCTTACAACAGGTAAGTCGTCCTCACGTTGATTACATTTTTGGTTGCTTTTATGTGCAAGTAAAGCCGCCATCCCATTGACTTCTGTTTCTGGTCGCTGTTCCATGCTAGGCACCCTCGCCATGCAGACAATCACAATTCAGCTGTTTCGAGTCGCACATTTTTCTTTTCACTAATAAGTATGTAACAAGTTGCCTTGCATATGTATACTAAACTGCTAGAAAACTTCAATCTGTCATACAAAATTGACCTAATCATGGTTCATCTCTAATTCTTTCACAGATACATGTGAGATCTTCGTTGTGAACATAGCTCAGGCATTGTGTGCATAAGAGTATTCTATGATTATTTAGACTATCCTTGTCTAAGCGCAGAGGCGCGAGATGGTTTTTTTATCTAAGTGAAGGGTGCTTTGAAATCAAGCTCGTGGCCGTCGTTAAGACAATATTATAGCAGGTTGCTCCTAGCATAGCCTATGTGCGGAGAGTGCGATAGTAATTAGTAAAGATCTACGTCTGCTGAGTGCAATCGCTTTGGGCACAATAAGCAGCAGTCTGAAATTGGCATTGAGTACGAAGATCTAAATAGGTTACACGCTAATTAAAATGAGCACTTTATTTCAGATGGCCGTCGAAAGAGTATATTAACCCAGGTCCCCTAGTTTTGGATATTATAAGCTACGGAAGATATGCTTGGCTATGTAAGGAGAGGGTTGAATAGCATAAGCAGCTGATAAAGTTCACTGTCTTACATCAAATGTGCTACTAACTATTGATGAGTCAGTGCTCCTATTTCGCTCCTTTTTCGAACTTATAACACGCTTTTCGCGTATTAAATACTAACATTCTCATTTGAGCGGCTTTATTTATCTGTTTCATTTGCATGTACTTAACGTCTCCAAGTCACCTCTTCCCCAGTCTAATATCAACATTACTTTGACGAGAATCATTTTCGCCCTCAACCCACATGCTGCAGTTCTAGTCGTGAGTTTTGTCTTGTAAAACTTTTTAATGTTTACATTACGGCCACAGTATAATGTTATAAAATCCTACGCTCTAATCGTCTTCTGACCAGAGTATAGGCATAAACCTGGTCTATAGTCTTAGGCGGAATTATTTGGATACCTTGAGTGTTGCGTGTTTTGATTTAGTCTGTTTCGTCTCTATATAACTACATTTTTGGGAATTAAAAGTACTATCAAAATTATGTCACTCCAATAGCCCTGACTCTGTCAATTCCTTTGTCTCTTTACTTGTTGGATTGGCTGTTATGGGAATTTTGAGCACATGTGGGGACAGGATCTTTTGCGATTTTTATACATTTTCAAGCTATATCGTTGGACAAATACTCAGACGTTTTTGACAACCAAGAATATATGAATGTGTAAGTCTCTGACTGTCTTCCCACTTTGAGTAGGGGAGAATTAGACGGAACAAAATACTCACCAAAATCCTTTCACTCATAAGTTAGACGCATATTCGGTTACGACAGCATTGTAGCATTGATATTGACTGACTTTGTACCATACACTTATATAGTAAAACAAATTTGTCACCTCAGTGGTTAATAAGGATGTTCGCCTACCACGGGGCGTTTTCTATTCCGAATAAGACAAACCTGAATTGTTGCATGCTACAACTAACGTATGCATGAATCGTAAATCATGCTTTTCAAAACAAATAAAACCATGAATTTCATATCATCTTCCGTTTCATACACAGAGTATTTTAAAATACGTTTAGTGTTTTACAATGGAACCATTGCATATAACAAGTAAAACCTGCAGCGCTCGGTAGGATAGAGAGGATAAAAATAGTAAAATAACCAAAAAGGTGTGAATATAGTCGAGTACAAGTTAGTGAGCTTGCCGAAACGTTTAAACAAAAATGCATACGTTCACTTGGCTGGAATTTAGTGCATGCCCTTTGCTTGACTAGAACGACCGCCAGACGAACAACATCTATGAAATGAAATGAAAATGTGCAATGCGTCCTCGGTAGAACAGAACCTTCAGGCTGTTTCTTTCGGAGAGGATTTACAGAGGAATATAGCAATATAATATTAGTAGTGGGGGATAATTGCTATGATAATTATTCCTGCAAAAGGGAGCATGTAAATTCAAACCATCATGTATCTTTTAATGTTTCGATTAGAAAATAAATGCTTTCATTTCCGGGACAGGTTTTGCTGGACCAACTGGTTTTCTAGAACGTTTGTTAACGTAATTACAAAACAAAAGTTACTTTTCGAAAAGTTCGATAGTAGCATCAGGATTGATTTGCAGATTGAGGAAAGTAATATACCCGTCCTATTTTCCAATATCCCAATAATTTTGCTACTTATTACTAGGTGCTACGTGCAAGTTAGGTAAACTACTCAGCTGAATTTATAAGTAAATTCCGCACAAATCTTGGTACCAAGTAGTTGAGCAAGTTTGCCGTGACGATACACAATAACATACATTTATTTTGTTGTTTAGGAAACGCAAGTGATAAAATTATACCCCAGCCGATGTTGTATTTTACGACAGCTAAATTTCTAAGTTAACTCCTTGCTTCATTGGGTCATGTAAGCTCTTTTACCTACTTAGATATATGCCAAACTACACTACTTAATGCATCAAATAAACAGAAAAGCGGACACAAGAATGTTGGTAATTACAGTTGCACAATGTGATGGCATTTAGTGAACATTATACAGTAACAACGTACAATTACCAGCTCCCACTTGTGAGATATGGGAACTGTTGTGATTGGTTGTGGAATAAACCAATTAGGTGTGAGCAAACTTCTATGACAGAAGTTCAGTCCTCTTTTATACAACCCATTTAGGTGAATTTCGGCATGGAATGCCCAGATGAGTGGTACCGATTGTATAGTTTCATTCCGCAAAAGTGCGCTGGTGCTTTGTCGGAAGTGAATGACGCATCAAGACTTTCATCAGGAATTTTGTCCCTTAAATTCTACCTGCCAGTTATGCAGCTTCATAGAAAAAGAACTAGGTCGGCTACAGTCATGTAGTCTTTCAAATGTGCAATCGGACCTTGAATCGAAACGCGTCAAACCTTTCACAGGTAATCCGCGCGATGCAGCTGTAGTCAATCGCAAGCCAAACGAACTAAACCTGACCACTGTCATACTTGAGGAATTGCGGAGGTTTTGTGAAAACACATCTATCCGAGGATTACCTCGTATAGTCAGAGCCCAGAACCGACCTATGCGACTTTTGTGGTCCACTTTGGTCTGTATCTTAGTTCTCGGTTGTGGAACATGTCTATTTTTCTTGTCCAGACAATACTTGGAATATAACGTGATACATCCACCCAGAGTACTGCGTCACACTTCGAGCCCTTTTCCCTCAGTCACAGTTTGCAATTTGCGACCTATATCACCAGATGGAATGGATTATTTAAAACAAAAAGGTTGGAAGACACCTAGACAATTTGCCACTGACTTGGCCTATTACACCCAATACCTGTACTACAATTCCCATCGTATGGATGAATACGCAGCAGCAAGTGCGGCATTTTCTCTAGCGGGATTTTTGGAAAGTCTTCCAAACGATGACGAACGCCGGAAGCTGGGGTATCTGTACAATAAACTTATCATAAAATGCCAGGTATGTTAGATGAGGTAGTATGATGGGACCATTTTATTTATTCCACCGAAATCAAATCGCTGCATCCGGATAGCGACGTAATATGCAATTGCTCTTAAGAACAACGACGCAAAGTCGTTGGCATTTGTATGCAGCGGTTTGCAGAAAATATGTTCTTCCAAGTAACTGAACTCTTTACAGACTCATCAGCTTTGGTTATGAATAGACAACCATATGCCCTTACCCCAGTGCCTGTAGGATAAGCATACTAAAGCTTAATAGAATCTTTGATATGGAACAAAAAGAAAAGTTTTATTACCGACTCCTAAAAATTGTATTATTCGATTAATTCAAAGACAGAAGAGGATTTAGCAAATTCCTTCTTATCCAGAACGTATGAAATTCATGGGTCACAACAATTAACTCGATAAGCATGACATTTTTACTTATCATAGTGGTGCACGAATTTATGCTTGTCGGAATTATGTGAGTATTTCATTCTGACGAAAATGTATGACATACTATTCTAAGCATACGTTCTGTTAAAATCGTCGAACGATCAAGCCTAATACTTGGAAGGGAGCGTAAGGAGCATGACCATAGTTTAATGTAACCAGTTGATTGTTTGGTTGGGACCAGCGATAGTACGCAAGTTCGAATCTAGCAATGCTCTCTGATCAGCTCAAACGAGTGAGACCGGTTCCAAATGATGGCAGCTCAAGCGGGATGACATCATGGATGTTAACTATTATTTAGCCATTACAGCCTTTTCATTGAACAGAATCCTTCCTGGCATTCTTATATCCAGGTGAAAAAGCATAAAGTCAAAACGCATCTTCTTACATATATTTGTGTGACTCGATTGCTTCGATGCTTGACACACCTCGTGTTGAGACGGCGCAATGGAAGCTGTATCATTCTGCTTACAGAGAATTAAAGGACGGTGCGAGTTAATTCACCAGGTTAAAGAAACCAAGCATAAGAAAGAATAAAGAATACGATTCTTTAAGCCTAGTATTTGGATACCCAGTCGGATCCAAATAGGAAAGTGCTCTTTTATCTATTCAAGGCCAGTGTGCAATAATGATTTAATGGACCGCGCATTTTGCTCAGGAAATTATCATAAAGGTGGACGGGGTTACAACTTTTCAGAACTCAAGTAGATAAGCTCCTTATATATGGAATAGTAAACATCGTCGGTAGAAATATCATAAAAGTTGCTTATTCATTTCGGCCTAGATATTTTAACATTCCACTCGTTAGTGCTATTTGAAATAGCAACCACATATAGTTATTTAATCAATTCATCGCAATTCGATTGCAAACTAGATAGACCAACAACAACGCATTCTTATGACCCTTTTCAGCAAAGTAACAACCGGCTTGCTGCACAAAATATTAGTTAATGTTATTGAACCATGCTGGATATTGGCAGGTCCTCATGAGCTGTGAATTAACTGGGACAAAGGCTAGATCATCATCCGCCGCCATGAAGCATCTTTTTACCTCACAGGTTGATGGCCGATCTCCACAAATACAGACACCTACTCACGACAGCAGTGAACGCATTTGAAGGCTGTAATCCTACTTCCACCTCACAGCTTTCGAATGAAATATGTGAGCTAAAGCAACGCGTTGCATCTGGAGGCCAGCCACTCTCAGGTGTAATGAGAGTTACCTAAAGGGAACTACATGACGGGTAATGCGGTAAACTGGTCAGAGTTCAACAGGATAGTTTGCTTCTGACCCTCAAAAATCAATGGCGCAAATTGCTAGACGCCATTGGCTCAGTTTCCTGAAGTGGACTGAAGGAACGCACACCACTGATGGGTCTCCATAGACCAAAGCCGCCGTCAGGTGGTTTCTGGATTGGTAGGTGGCAAGCTGGACTCAAATCTAACCGCGACAAACTAAATAAAGATTAGCAAATCTCTGAACTCATACAAGAGGTGTTCAAAATAAACCGAACATTATTGATAGCGCGGAAACCGGCCGAGGAAGCGCGCTGCTGCTACTGAGCCCATGTGGAGGTTTGCTTGTAAAACACACTGTCATTTGCTGCATTTCGTTCCAAATTTTGGTTGTGAAGGTACAGCCGCTGAACTAGGCACGTGCACAAGCTATTCGTCGGATTAGTGACAAAGAGATAATGAAATGGTTGGAAGAACAAGGCAAGTCTGTACAATTTTTTGCTACAAATAGGCAAAACTTTGCAGAGATATTTTAGTTGGTTAGCAAAACATGCGAGAAGGAATATATGAGTCGCACGCACGGTTATGCTTGGTTTAAGTGTTTTGAACATAGCAGAATCTCGGTCGGTGACGAGCACAAGTCTGGATGACCTTCAACATCAACAGACGATGTCTATGTCGAGTGAGTTCGTACTGTGATCAGTGGAAACTGTCCTTTAACTTTCGAAAGTTGCTGATAAAGTGAACAGCAGCGTAGGTTCATAGCATCAATTTCTATCGTGTTCGAGGGATTTTGTGCGCAGGAAGAAGCCTGAACAGTGGGAAAACCAGCATCGGATGTGACATCATGTCAAGACGCCAGCTCACGCATCGCTGATTGTCCACAGCTATCTACCAAGACGTCACACACCCATTGTGGTCCATCCACCGTATACGCCGGACCATGCCCAAGCAAATCTTTTTCTGTTTCCTAAACTTAAAATCACTTTGAAAGTGCGTCGTTTCCAAACCATAGAAACTATTCAGGAAAATGCGACAAGAGACCTGTGCGCCGTCCCAGAAAGTGCTTACCAGAAGTGCTTTCCAAAAATTGAAGCACTATTAAGAACCCATGTTGCTGGTGGAGGGGCTTCTCTGAGGAGGAAAGTGTCTAAGGTGTTGTGCAACGAGCAATATAAATGTTATAGCCAAAATTCGAATTTGTGCACACCCCTCGTAAGTAAACATTTATTTGTCCAATGTATAGTAATGAACCAACAAATTTATAACAATTTGAAGCCAGATTACATATCCTGGATTATTTCTCCTAACGTTTATCTTGGTAGTCAACCCGGTTGCCTTTACTAATGTAAACACATTTGAAGCATATATCCGACAATTGCTCTTGACTATGACTGTAGTACACTAGTGGATAAGGAAGTATCCAAAGATACCGTTCTGTATGATGACAAATTCAGTGTAAATAGTTTAACGTATTAAAGATGACTGTAGTGTCCCAACCACACTGTAGTAACCAAATCTAATCCGCTGAACCAGTGTGGCAAGCTGAACACCGTCATTTCATGATTGCATTGCAGCAGAACCTACGGATGGTGTGTACCAATTGATGTACATTTGCACACATCGGCTTTTTATGAGTACATGTGTAAGGGACTTAGAAAGGTTCCTTACTCGGTGAGTTATACAATTGGATGGCAGTCTGATTTTCCCTAGATGCTAAGAGATGCAGCTTAGTTCTTTAACGCAGTGACTTTTTACAGAACCTATGATATTTTATGTTTGTTTACGGAGAACTGAAATCATTCCAACAAGTAAGATGGAAACCATTTATAAACAACATGACAGTTGATGCATTATTATGCTAGACCGTGAGAATATTGGGTTATTAAAAATCACAGACACAGCCGTAAGCCAACAGTTTACTAATTGCAAGGGCACCATATAGAAATAACGCATCATTGCAGGTGTTGTATATTTCTTTATTGAACGTAATGACTTAAGCGATATAACTGATAAAAGTTTCAACTGATCTCAAACAACTTTCAGATTACAGATATCATTTTGTGTATGGGTTCATTGTGCTTTCACGAAGCGAAGGGAAAAGTTCATCGACACCGGTTGTCTCTTCCTATATTCTTTTACACTTTTTAATCTTCACTGAAATGTTCTTAATATTGACGACTGGATAAAGGCCTCCTACGCACTAAAGCATCTGTTGGTTCATACGTTACCTCGTTTTGTGTATGTCGCCTTCCTGACATATCAATTGATTTGGTACCTCTAATTGATTTCAGGTTATTTACGCTGCCTCAAAGGCATGGTAAACACCATTTTGTCTCAGAGCATTCCACATTATGCTGCTGTGAGCCGGTTGTTTGATTGATTTCTGAGTTTATTGTTAAATCAAACAACCTCACTAAATGGTAGACGCTTATTCGTAAGACGTTTTATTAGGACCGGACGTATATAGCAAAGTAAAGCATCGGATTATATAAAATATCCTGGTTAGCAGCATAATTTGTAAGCTACTTAGCTAGCTGTTAACTATCGTTCTTAAGTAACAACGTAGTTGTGAACTGTGGCGTGCCGCCCCTACAAACGTAAACAATGGCAACTCGAAAATTTGTTAGAAATTAGAATTTATCAGTTGCATCAATACGGCTTACCTTAGGAGAAACCAGCTCTTTTCCACAAAAATTAGCTTCAAAGAGCTATAGATATACAAGCAAATAAGCCAATATCCATAGGATTACGATCACTCGTCAACACACTAAAAAAATCAGTTCACCAGCTGTGACTTAGCTTCATATGGCAATGACGGATAAAGAACCGACTTGATTCTAATCTTTTCTATCATCATTGCCTAAGGATTACAAATTGTTTTAATTAAACTTGTAATATTGAGGAGTTATCATCAATTTTACAAGCTGACTTAAGGTTAGAAGTACTTTAGTCATTATGCCGCCAAACACCGCTAAAATTTCCTTAAGCGGAGATAATGAACTATACAAAATAAAATATTAATAAAAGTTAAGGTATGTTTTTAATCTTGTGCAACTCTAAGAAAATCTGCTTAGGATGTAGTGCTAAGCATGTGAGGAGCCACAAATTAACTTACAACGCAAACGTCAACGGGGCAGGTTATTATTTAAGCTAGCAAGTGCATCGAACAAAACATGTTCGTCCTATTTTAGACCCAACCCAACGGTTGGGAGATTCCAACCGAGGTCAAAGTTAACACGAAAAATTCCTGCCTTTTGATCAGTTCATAATTTGGTCTCCCCTACTTCCATCCAAATACCATTCGCGCAAACAGGACATGTAGCAGAG